TCTTGACTTCCATGCAAAGTATTACAAGGATCTATTTGGCAGTCTTTAAGAGACTGAATTTGCTACCTAGAATTTCCTGTGACATTAAAAACAAATAATTATTCAATATGTTAAGATATCTAAGTAGAGTTAAGTTGGGATATCTGACTAAAAAATGTATTTGCTGCATTTAAAGGTGATCTCTATCTACAAACAGATATAAAAATTACAAAATCATCAGAACATGTAAATGATTTGGAGAAATCTTCTCCTAGAACCTTAAGTAAACCCAAGAGTGAAATAAAATGAAACAAATAAACAAACAAACAGAAAATAATACCTCGTGATCACTTCTTTTCTTAGGAGAGGCAGCACAGCTGAGTGGTTAAGATCATGGGCTCTGGAGTCAGGCGGTTTAAATTCAAATCTTAGCTCTGCTCCTTCATAGCTGAGTGAGTAATTAATTTCTTGATGACTTATATAATCTCATCCGGGAAATGAGAATAACAATATGCATACCTTTAGGATGGCTGTGAGGATGGAATGGGTTAATACTTGTAAATTGCTTAGAAAAATGCTAAGGAAGCGTTTGATAATTACAATATTGATGACATGTTGGTTTATATAGCATTCTTTCAAAGACAATTTAGGGATGTAGTTCCTATGAAAACTTACTTACCACATCCTTATACTCCTTTGTTGCTAAAATTGGCAACCAAATTAGTTCAGACCCTTGAATCACATGCTCAGCAAATAATCTATGTTAATACAAGACAAAAGTTACTTGATGTGCCATCTGAGAAACCAATGAAAATAAAAAGCCAGGATTTGTACACTTCAAAGTGTATCAGCTGAGAAAGGGGTTTCCCTTTGACTCACGGACCATTTATAATGTTGGCTTTTTCAAAATGCCTTTGGAAATGTACCTGGGTTAAAGCAGCTTTTGATTTCTATAGTATAATTCTTCTGCAGAGTTAAAATACTGTCTTTAATTTCTGTACCTCATCTCTGTACTATCTTTATAAGGTAAATAAGGAGAACATCTACAACTAAATTTCAAGGAAGAAAATTTTAAGAAAAAGTAAGTGAAATACAGGTTCTCCAAACTCTGCCTCCAATGTTGGCAGTCCTTTATCCATTTGTTTAGTAGATGTTACAATCACATTTGTCCATTTTATGTCTTCTCTTGTATGAAGATTTGTTTATATCAATCTTTTTTCCTATTATTTCAACATTTAAAAAAGATGGTTACCCTTGAGATTATAACAAATATCTGTAACTTTCAAAATCTCTTATAAATTAGTTCTTATATTCCTTCCAGAAAAAGCAAGAAATTTAACATCATCTATACCCCTCTTCACATTCATGCAATTGCTGTGATGATGTAGTTTCATTTATACTGCCTTTCTTGTATTTAAATAAATAAAACTCCACAAATACTGCTATTACAGCAATTATTATTTTTACACTATAGTCATTCATTTAGATTTAGTCAGATAATTTTCTCTTTCACTGCTCTTGATTTGTTATTTCTGGGATTTTTTTTTTTTAATTTTATTGTGATTTGGGTGAAAATATTTCTGGAATTGTTTAAATTTAAAGAGTAATGTTTCCTTGTGTGTGGGCTTGCTGGTGATAAATTCGTAATTATTGCTTGTCTAAAATATTTTTATTTTATTTACTTTCTTCAGAAAATTTTTTGTGACTATAGAATTGTTGTTTGGCTGGTTCCTCCGCACCTCCCAGCAGTGTTACATTGTTTTCAGGTGTCAATTTTATAAATTTTTATAAATTTTATAAATTTTTACAAATTCACCAACAGCCTTAATTTTTGCTCCCTAGAAAGTAACATGTCTCCTTTTTTCCTAACTATCTTTAATATTTGAAAGAATTTTTACTTGGTTTTGAACAGTTTTACCATAAGTTGACTACGTATGGTTTTCATTTCATTTAACCTAGTGAGGTATGTAGTGTTTTCTTTATTTGTGGCTCAGTTTTTATGTTATATTTAGAAAATCCTCAGCCCTTATTTCTTCAAATAGAGCTTCCTTCCATTCTCTCTCTTTTCCTCTTCTAAGACTCAGATTATATCTATGTTAGATTTCCTCACTACACCCTCCATCTCTCTCTCCTCTCTTTGTTTCCCCTACAGGCTTTAATCTATATTTTCTACTGACATATCTGCAAGTTCATGAATTCTTTCCTCAATTACATGATTTCAAAATATTTTACATTTTCTAGTTTCTGAAAAGTATGAAAATCTTACTCTTATTTATTTATTTATTTTTAGTATATTGTTGTTGCTGCTATGTGCTGTGGAGTCGGACCCGACTCATAGCGACCCTTCCTTGAGTTTCCAAGGTGGTATCACTGTGGAAGTAGATTGACCAACTTTCCTTCTGAGAAGTAGCTGGTGGATGTGAACCTCCAGCCTTCTGGTTAGCAGTCAAATGCATTAGGCACTACACCACCAGAGCTCCTTTGAGTATATTAGCCAGATGAATTTAGAAATTTTTGTCCACATTTTCTTTTATTTACTCCCTTTAGGTCTGTTCCTGTAGTCTTGTTTTGTTATTTGTTTTCTGATTTTAGTTTAGTTTAGTTTTGTTTTAGTGATTGTTAGATGTATATAAAAATTGTGGGAGCTCTGGTAGCCTAGTGCTTAAGGCACTTGACTACTAACTAGAAGGCTGACAGTTCAAAACCACCAGCCACTCCTGGGAAGGAAGGTTGAGCAATCTACTTCTGTAGTGATACCACCTCGGAAAACCAAGGAGGGGTCACTATGAGTCAGGACTGACTCCACAGCAATGAGTTTGGTTTTTTGGTTTTATCATTTCTTTCACTCTTCTTTGTATATATTATATCATTTGGATTTTTATCTGAGAGTGATTTATTTTAAATTTAACTATTTTTATAAATAAAAAGTAACACATTAGCAAAGAGGAAGTTTGATAAATTGCACATGGTAGCATACTAAGACAAAAGAAATTTCTGTTTATTTCAGACCTGGATAAAAGTTCCTCAACAGGTCTTGTAATACCTGAAGTCTCCAGTGAGAGAGGATAACAAGATACACAGATGAAGATGTTCATCAGCAATTAGAAATGTAGCCCATAGATATAGTGACAAGTTAGGCTTTTCAATCATCAGAAAGAAGGGATTATCCAAGTCATGAAAACAGGTGATATGTATAAGAGTGATAAGTTTATACAAAGCTTCAGTTCTCTGAGGACATAAGGCAAAAGCCTAAATTTTGACCCTCAGGTACTCTCTATCATCATAGTCACCTGGGCACGGGTAAGAAGCTGAATAGATTGATAATGAATCTCTCAGTGATAGCGAGAGTCAGATGTTTTCCTGAAGCCACATGAAAAGTGCTTTTTAAGGAAAAGTGGTCATTACAAAAGAAAAATAAAGATGAATGAAAACTAAGCATCAATTGAGAATATTGTTTTGGAAATATGAAAGGCAGAAGTTTGAGGGATTTGAAAAAGGGTACAGATGAAATTGGGTAGTAAAAGCATAATTGTGTTTGAAGTCAACAGTGAGATATTTTCAGTAAGGTAACTGATAAGCAAAGCCAAGGTAGAGTTTTAGCAAGCCATATTTCTTTAAAAAAAAATCAATCCTGAGGGATTTTTCTCCAAGCCTTCATTTTGACTTACTCATTTAAAAATTCTGTACAAAGAATGAAAAATTATAGGAATATTTGTACTCTAATATTCTAATTCTCAATGTTTTGTTAGCACTTTTTTGGCTTCCATATGGATATGATAGGCTTTCGTGACATTTTCTTTTCTTTTCTTTTTTTCCTTTGGCCTGGTTTCAAATATATCAGCCTCATGAATCATTTTGTTAAAGAAGTTTGGACATTGTCTTCTTAGTGATTACTTTTGGTTTCAGTTTTCCTTATCATTCTTATACAGAGTACATATTCTGTATAAGAATACAAAAAAACGATAAAAAACACTTTAAAAAAGACATACATAATAAAGAGAAATAGTGTGAGAGCTTTTCTGGAAGGTAACCAAAGCCATGAGCTATGCAAATTTTGTTTGAAGCTGGATGACTGACCCTACATTGTTTTCCAATCTACTGAACACTCACTCCTGTTTCCTTCTTTTGATCATCAAAAGGAACGATATGGTGGCTATTTCTGCTTCACCTTTATTAGTAAGATCAAAAGATGCCTCTAAATGATCATAGACCTAGATTTCCCTGAAATCTACTGAGTGCATTTTGTTTGCATTTTGAGAGAAATATTTTCAAGGCATTTTATCCTTTCTTCAACTTTTTAAAAACACGTCGCAAACTCTTCAAATGTGTGGTACTGTTGGCTCATCAGTCTCTGGTAGCCAGATCCACTGGAGATGCAAGAAAGTCTTTCCAAAAGCTACTTACTAGAAATGTGAAGGAAAGAGAATAGTATCATTGTGAATACAGATAGAAGGTTAAGTGTGTTTTCACTTTTTTTCTACATCGGAGCCATTGAACAACAATTCAGTGTGTGTCAGGTTGTGTTTCAGGGCTGCTGAAACAAGACACTGATATTTTCGAAGGACTCTCAAAGCTTAAAAGAAAGCCACTGACAAGAATAACTAGATGATAGTTTGGTAATTTATCCATGGTCAAATTTATTATTCTAACTCAAAGTTCTAAATGTTTCTACAAAGCAATCTTCTTTTGGTCATATGTTTTCAAGGTTTGGGTTATTTCTATCAGAAATTTTTTCTGTTGTTGCAGGTGGCAATGAGCAAGTTATCTTCATTATGATAACAATTTGATGTGGAATATAAACTTTCAGTTTCTTCATATGATTAATAAAGATGATTTTGTGGTTCTATGTTTCTTGGATGACAAATAAAGAAACTAGAAAATGAAACTATTCTGAAAGTGGAAGTCATTTCTCACTGCCCACATGAGACATGTTGTGGTCATTGGCTTAACAAGCACTCAAATAAATAGATGCTCTGAAACTTTTCAGAGACTAAGGAGAGCCACAGGAGTGCACTGCAAGAATGGCACAAGATAAGGTATCTCCTATGGAAGGCTCTTGGAAAATTGATAAAGAGTTCCATATAGATGAAGATATGGGCTTCATTCTGCCAAATCCACTGGTAAGAAAGGGTACTGAAATACTGAAATATGGGCAAATGTATTTTTTTCTCATTACTTACCTTGGCAGATATGGTTCAGTAATTTCTACTGAACAAATGGATAAAGGACTGCCAACTTTGGAGGCAGAGTTTGGATAACCTGCATTTCACTTACCTTTTCTTAAAATTTTCTTCCTAGAAATTTAGTCATAGATGCTCTCCTTAGTTACTTTACATCAACTGTAGGGAGATAAAATACAGAAATTATAGATAGTATTTTTAACTTTTAAAAAGAATTATACTATAGAAATCAGAAGTTGATTTAATCCAAATACATTTTCAGAGGCATTATGAAAAAGCCACAGTTATAAATGGTCTATGAATCAAAGGGAAACACCTCTATCAGGTGGTACACTATATTTTACAAACCATGGGCTCCTAATTTGATTAGGTTTCTGAGATGACACATTAAGCAAATTTTGAGTTGCATTATTATAGGTTATTGTTCAAGAAGTACAAGATTGGAGTGAGAGTCTAAACTACTTTTTGTTGTTTTTGTTGCCAATTCTACCTGTGAAGGAGTATGAGCCGTATGAGTAAATATATTTGCCACAAGACCTAATTTGTCTTTGAAATAATAACATGTAAACCAAATTTTCCATCAGTATTTTGATCAAATACTTGTATAGAATTTTTCTAAGCAATTTACAAATACTAACCAATTTCATCCTCATAACCATCCTAAAAATTATTGTTATTAACTTTATTTCTGTGATGAGATATATAAAGACATGCAGAATATAATTAATTGTCCAAGCTCACACAGCTAATAGTACCACAGTTAAGATTTGGTCCTTAACTGTCTGGATCCAAAGTCCATGACCTTAACCATTCTGCTCTGCTGACTCTATTAAGAGAAGAGATGAAAGAACATTGTGCTATTATTATTATTATTATTCACTCTTGGGTTTAACATCTTACATGAAATTTTAGGGGATGATTTTGAGTTTCTTACAGTTATTTATATATTGTGACAATTGTGAAAATTTTATACCACCATATCCTTATTTTTAGCTCATGTCTTTAAAGTCTACATGCTGGAGAACACCTTTGCATGCAGAAAATACAGTCTAAGTTAAAGACCTCAACTAACCTAACTGTACTTAGAAAGAAAATCCTATAATAGCTTGCATAATATAGACAAATGGAAAGCAACCCCTTCCTCCCAATCTAATTTTCCTCTTTAAATTATTAAGTTACTTTAAGAAAATTACATGTATGTTTAAATTTCATTACTGAAAGTACCTGAGAGCTCTGATGGCATAGTGCCTAAGGTATTTGACTGCTACTCAGAAGGCTGTAGTTCAAACCCACCAGCCACTCCTCGGAAGGCAGACTGGGCAATCTACTTCTGTAAAGACACTGCTTTGGAAATCCAAGGAGGGGTCTCTATGAGAAAGTACCAGCTTGCTTTATATGTGCAAATACACACACACACAGAGAATTGGGTGATTTCAAGGAAATAAATATCAATGATACAATAAAAACTATCTTAAAAGAAATAACTAAAACCTCATATCAAAAAAATTTTAAAGAGTTTGTTCTTTTAAAAAATGAAATAACCACCATAATTGTGGAGACCTCTAGGACATACCCCAAGGGTTAAAGCAGATCCCAGAGATACGAAATACATTCATCTAGCACAAGTTTAATGAGTCTCTGATTTATTCCTAATTTATTTATATTAATTATACATTTAAGGAAATCTCTGAACCAGAAGTATATTAATGATTAAATGTGGCATTTGTTCAAAGTGTTGTGAAATAAGATACTGATCTTGATACATAAGGAAAAGAAGTATGTACTTCTGTTATTTGGGGAAATACAACAATCAAAAAATTGTGTGCACTACACAGTGAAACAAAGAAAAAAAAAAAGACATTTATTCCTAAAAATGCTAGAGCATACCCACCAGCCACTCCTCGGAAGAAAGATTGGGCAATCTGCTTCTGTATTGACGCTGCTTCGGAAATCCAAGAGGGGTTGCTATGGGATCTGAGTTCACTGCAGTGAGTTTGGTTTTGGTTTGAGTACTTGGTCAAAGAGAAAATTCAGGGCAAGCAAGAAAGGTGAGCTTCTAGTGGATTACTGCTTAGATGTTCCCTGCTAAAAATCTGCCTCAACTAAACACTGGCCAATTTCAAGCAGATAAGGAAAGTATTTGAAATACCTGTTATATAAAACATCTTGTTTTATACCTTACTTGTAAGTTTGGAGGCTTAAACTTCACTTGCATCTCTTTGAGCTCATTTCTCTATTTGCATTCAGGCCCCAAAGTTCAATGTTGATGACCGCCCCCCCCAGGGTTTACCTCAAAGCTGCTTGTGAAGGAAGCATAGGATTGGGTGTATGGGGAGGGATTGGCATATCATTTTGGAAAGTTTCCTGGGTCCTTTGTATATTTCTTCTTGAGATGAGATCATGAATCTGTAGGCACTAGGGAGCCACTTTTATTTGCTTTCATTTGCATTTATTGGGCAAAAATAAGCCTGCGGTGAAACCAAAGTAGGCAATCAACATGCATATATACAGCATTCCCTGTATGCCCAGTACTGTGTAAGATCCTAGGAGCTCTGGTAGCATAGTGGGTAAGGTACTTGACTGCTAACCAGAAGGCTGGTGGTTCAAACCTACCATCCACTCCTGGGAAGGAAGATTGGGCAATCTAGTTCCGTAGTGATACTGCCTCGGAAACCCAAGGAGGGGTCGCTATGAGTCGGGTCTGACTCCACGGCACATAACAACAGTGTAAGATCCTAAAAGAAATATGATATTAAGTGCACAATATAATCCTTGCTATCAGATAGTGAAATGTAAAAAGAGCGTAGGTTTTGAAAGTTGGAAACACTCATATTTGAATTCTAATAAACTATATAATAGTGCCTAAGGCATTTGACCGCTAACCAGAAGGCTGACAGTTCCAACCCATCAGCCACTCCACAGAAGGAAGATTGGGCAATCTACTTCCCTAGAGATACCATCTTGGAAACCCAAGGAGGAGTCGCTATGAGTCGAATAGGCTCCACGGCAGAGAGGTTTTTTTTTTTTTTTTTGGTATCTAAATAAAACAAATTCAATACACTGAACCTTTCTTATGACATGGATATAAACTCCACATTTTGGGTTGCTACTAGAATTAAATGAGAAATATATACAAAATTATGGATCAAATTGCCTAATCCATGATTAACATTTAATAAATCTCATTCAAATATCTATTCAAAGAATTAAAATCTACTTGAGAATTAAAAATGTAAGGTAACAGCAAATTACTCAACAATGTGAAAAGGTAGGATTTATAATAAGGGAGAAAAGTGTCTAAAGATGTAGTCAGGAAGATTTTAGTGGAATTTGGGAGGTGAACTTAGAAATATAGGTAGATGAAGGTGTTTGAACAGAGAGGGAGAGTAGGAGTACAAAGTTCTTATGCCCTGTGTGTACAGGTGGCAATGCATGGACTTCCATTACTAGACACAAAGGTGTGTGTTGGGGCAGCTTTGCACAGAGTGGGTTTAGGGCCAAAGCAGACTGTTAGTGGGAAGCCAATTCTATTTTGCCATAACTTCCATTGCTAAATAAAAGTCCTATTTCTCTTTGGCAGGAGGATCTACCTGATAAGTACGCTGACTGGATTTCCATTGCTAAAATTCTGCCTGACCTGATTGAGAATGGCACATTACGTGCACAAGTTGAAAAGGTTTGGATTGAATATTTGTCTTCTCCTTTAATAGCTTCTTAACATTTTTAACTTGGTTTTGAAGGCAAAAAAAAAAAAAAACATCATTTATATTGATTTGAGTCAATTCCTCCATGTATTCTCAGTTGCCACAACTCAGCATTGATGACCTCCAGGGGCACAAGTTGCAACGCCTTGCACATCTGGTCTTGGGGTACATCACCATGGCATATGTGTGGTATCGAGGTAAAGAAGACGTCAGTAAGGTTTGGAGCTTTCCTAATATCTTCTGTACTATATGACGGATGTTCCAATATAAACTTTATATAAAAAGCTCACTGCCTTGGAGTGGTATCCAACTCAGAGTGACCACTCCTTGGTTTTCCCAGGGGGTATCTCTACAGAAGTAGATTGCTCAGTCTTCCTTCCCAGGAGTGCCTGTTGGTTTGACTGCCAGCCTTCTGGTTAGCAGTCAAATGTCTTGGGCACTACCCACCAGAACTCCTAAACTTAATATAAGAATTCTAAAAACAACATAATTCCATTTTGCAAAATTTGGATGGCAGAAAAAAAAATGGGAAAAATAATTTACTTAATGTGTCTACTAAAGAAGACTTTACCCTTTGTGTATATGTATTTATCTTGCTTCTATCACTTAAATTATAATGTAAGCATTTTTTAGTTGCTACATAATCATCCTCTTTTGATATGACTCTAATTTTTCATTGAGTTTATGAACTTTAGTTTACTTACTTAATCCTTAATTGATGCCTACTTTACTAGTTGTGACATTTTGCAGTTATAAATAAGATTACATTAAAAATCTTAGAATATGGCACAGCTTCTCTATTTATGACTTTTGTGAGATATAAACACTTTATGACTCTTCTTAGTTAATGGTATATCATCTTACATCTGTCAATACAGAAAAATATATAGGTTTTACTCTACACTCACCAACATTAGATAACCTCAGATTTAAAATGATGTCATCTTAATATATAATTGGATGTTTAGTCATAGTCTTATTTTTATGCAAAAACAGTCATTATGAATACAACCATTATAAGTTAATCCTTGATCACAATTTCACTCTAAGCGCAACCTATTCTTAGGGAATGGTGTAGGGCAAATGAATCTTAACTCACTGTTGTTCAGTTGGATCCGACTCATAGCGACCCCTCCTTGGGCTTCCGAGGCAGTATCACTACGGAAGTAGATCGCCCCATCTTCCTTCCAAAGGGCAAATAAATAGAGGAGGTCAAATATTGTTTGCAAACTACCTCTGTTCATTCTTTACCCAGTAGTGCAACAAAGGCCCAGTCTTCTCATTCCAGGGACGATTGCCATTTAGCAAGTAAAAACACAGGAAGTCCAGTTAAATTTGACTTTTAAATAAACAGTGATTTTTTTTTTTTTAAAGTTTATGTATTCCCCTTGAATAATGTAAATTCACCTGGGCATCCTGTATTTTTATCTGGCAATCCCGTGAAAGCAAGACAGACTGCAATGCCTAACCTTTAACTAAAGAAAGGAATTAAATAGATTCTAGAAACACCTTCTATCATTTAGTGGCAGTTTCTTCTCTTTTAATAAAGTAACTGGCATTTTATTATTTTTCTTTCCACACCCTGTTTAAAGATAGATAAGCACTTACAGTTCACCTATGCAAAGAGTCATTTTCCAGAACGAAAAGAAGGGAAAGTTGGGCTGCATAATTAGGAGAACACTTTATACTTCTTTGTATTCGTCATACTTTATTGAACATCTCCCACACCTAGTTTTCTGGAATTACACTAAACTAAAAAGTTTAAGAGTAGTTCCAGTCTTATGACCTAACTTAAAATATAGTTAAGCACACAGTGACACTAAATTTAAGAATCTAGCTAAGTGTATAGGAATTATATAGGAAAAGAGAATTAATAATGAAAGGCAGCATATGCTAGGTACAGAAGAACAAGAGTGAATCCAAAGGAGAGAAATAGTAGTTAATATGATCATGAATTGCTTTAAAGAAGAGGGACTTGAATTATTTCTTGAAAGATTGGTAGAATTTATATAAAAGGAGCAGAAACGAAATGGGAACTCATAAGCCAAAAAAAAAAGTGTCAAGAAATTACATAGAATCATTGGAAAGCAACACATTTAACAGACCTGAGATCAGAATTATGAAAATGTTTTTAATTTATTCAATTTATTTGCTTATTTATTTTTATTTATTCATAATTCTGAAAAGGATCTGAGGAACTGGCAATGGAAAAAATACAAGATAAAAATCTGTAAGTGCGAAAAGTATAGGAAAAAGAAAATAAATGAACAAAAAATAAGTCAATATATGGCACTTTTTCTTGAGAATGGATAAGAAATTAGAACTTTAGTTTCTTAGCCATTGTATGAATGTCTATGATAAAGATGTATTTGAACATTTCCTTTCTTTCTCCAAAATCATATCAAGGTAACTATTAAATTTTTTCCATTCTTATTTATTTTTTAAATCCTTTCTCTAGATCAAAGAGGGATAAAATTTCCTTGCTTTTGAAACATCCATAAATAATTTGCCTACCAGATAGTTTCAGTTCCCAGAGATACAAGTTCTGTAGTAAAAAGTGCTCATCCAAGTGTGACTTTGATTGTCAACGATACTGTTCTAACATCTTGTTCTTTGGGTTAAACCATCATTACTGGGCATATTAAACTAGGCTGAAGCCACTTGTATTATAACTCACAATTTTGTAAAATAGCTCATATGGTCACTCCAGTTGTACCCCTGGAGTTGCACAACACATTACACAGACTTGACAACTCCCTGCCCTATCTCTGATTAGATACACATATTTCTGCCATTGGCTGTCAACAACAAAGATTACCCTACAATTGATAGATGAAGAAATTAGGCAGATGAAGAATAAAATATGAGCTTTATGACCAGTAGAGTATGTGAGGAAAACAGGCCCTCTTAAAAGTGAATTAGATTGACTTGCCTACCTCAATTAAAGGCAGTGCTCGGTAACTGTAGGACTACCCTGTGGGGACAGGAGCCTTTTACTACACAGCTTAACACAGAGCAGAATACTATGAGTAGCAGGTTCAGGAAATGAAAATAAAAGAAGGAAGGAAGGAACAAGATGAAAAAAGTAAAAAAATAAAGGAAAAATAAAAAGCTGAACCATGTTCTCAGTTTTCACTCTCAAGCGCTACACCACCTCTGAAGAAAAGCAAATGAAAGATCTGACCTAAGCTAGAGGTGTCACCCTGTTTGATATATTTCTACATGGAAATATACAGCAAGAATAAAGGAGATTCCTCCTTCTACTACATTGAGTCTTCAAGGCTGAATGCCAGCGTTGTTGTATAAAATATCCAGGCAAGAGAATTTCTTTCCACACTGTGGTCCAAGAGCAGCAATCTATTCATAGTTTTATTATGTCTCATCTTCAAAAGTCTTAATTACAAATGACTGAACTTCTTTGAGACAATTTTATCTTTGTATAAACCATATCTTCTTTACGTCAGTTGGTAATGTTGTGGCTTGTGTAGAAGATATACTTAATAAACATGTAATAGATGAATGAATGAGTGCAAACCAAGTCAAGAGGCAATTACAAAATCAAGGGTTCAGCTTAGCTTGTTCCATTGCCCTCCACTCCTTTTTTTCTCTGTGGTCAAGTTTATCCACATTAACACAAGTTCCAAACATGAACTTTTAATAATTACCAAGATTGCATTCTGAAATGAGGAAGGAAAAATTAATATTTGTTTGGTTTCAAAGTGCCATCATATAGAATAGGTAGTGTTTGGTACCCAAGAAACAGAGGAAAAAATAAGAACTTTCAAAAGTTGACACTAAATACTGTGTTTTATTTAGGTTCTGCCAAGCAATATTGCAGTTCCTTATTGCAAACTCTCTGAGAAGCTGGGGCTACCTCCTATTCTGGTTTATGCTGACTGTGTCTTGGCAAACTGGAAGAAAAAGGATCCCAATGGGTATGTAAATTAGGATTATAATAGGATTCCAGGGTATACATTCTATTTAAATCAACAGGACCTTAATCACTGCTTTAATTTTTAGCAGCACAGCTCCATTGTTGAGGATGGTTTCTTTGACCACTGTATCTTTAACTACCAAGGTATTGTACAGATGTGAGAGAGGTGTAAACTTGACATACAGTGAAATGCACAAATCTTGGTATTTCAATATGATGAGTTTTGCAAGATAAGCAAGATAACCAAGATATAGAATATTTATATCACCTCAGATAATTCCTTTGTGAACTTTTCTGGTTAATTCCTGTCAACTCTCTGGCCCAGACAAACAAATTCTGATTTGTTTCACCAAAAATTTGTTAGCTTTTTTTTTTTTTTTTTTTTTTTTTTTTTTTTTTTTTTTTTTTTTTTTTTTTTTTTTTTTTTTTTATTTTTTAATATAAAAAAAATTTTAATTTTAAAAGTTTAAGTAGTTCAAAAAAACCTGACTGCCATTGACCTCTCTTTGGGTTTCTGAGGCGGTATCACTATGGAAGTAGATTGTTGAGTTTAAAAAAAAAAAAAAAAATCACCTTTCAGCAATAGAGGTTGCAATTTCTGGGCTGCTCAGAATCTAGGCCCCTCTGAATTATTTAGTCATGGATTGTTCTACATAAAAAGACAAGTGAATTATAGTGTCCCAAAGCTCTAAAGATCCATCTGCAGAGGAGGATCCTGTACATGCAGGTACCACAATAGAAAGGGCTTTTTTAGAAATTATTTGTATTTGTAATAGACAGTTTCGACTATCCATGTATCTTCCTTGCATATTTAGTTGTTTTTTTTTTTTCACTTATAAAGTCCTAAGTGTTGCAATTCCTACTTGAGAAATATAAAAATCACATTTTAAAAAATATTTTTGCCTGACTATATCTTACTTTTGCTATCTTGGTAATATTAAGTCTTATAACAATAACTCAAAACTATTTGATTTGTAAGTTTCTTTCTCTTTTTCTTCCAAATGATCCATTGTTTGCCGGCTGCTTTCATAGGCCTATGATTTATGAGTAAGTATTTGCTTTTAATTTTACTCTTGAAATTATTTCATATTCAAAGTGAATGTACGTTTATCAGTAGCCCCCAAATGGATTCTTCAAATGATCAATTAAATTCAGTCAAAAAGTAATTCAAGTAATTGTTAAAAGAGCAAATAATATTAGTCCTGGACTATCTCTATGACAATAATATGACTCTATCTATGTGATGTTATAACTACTGATATATACATAAACCCTACAGGCATGGGTACACATGTAATCAACATGTATAAATACAAAATACAAACAAATTTGTGTTTCTTTGACTTATTGACCCCTGTGGCCAGAATTAGTTGTCAGTATCAATAAATTACCATACACAAACCTATTCTCTTTGACCCAATCTTTACTTCAGTTTTTACCTATGTACTAAGTAGAAGTAAGAACTAGAGAAACAAGGGTCATCATCATAGGTTTAAGCCTGCCCTTGGAGTCCCTGGGTGGTGTAAAACATTAACACATTTGGATGCTAACTGAAAGAATGGAGGTTCTATGAGTACTTTGGTTGTTAAATTCATGGTCTTTGGAGCCAGTTTATTTGTGCAACTTTGAGCAAACTATTTCACAGGTCTTGGAAGAAAGACCTGGAGGTCTGCTTATGGAAAAACCAGCCAGTGAAAACCCTGTGGAGCACAGTTCTATTCTGACACACCAGATTATCGGAGTCAGAATCAACTTGACTGTAACTGGAAAAGACTGCCCTCATGAAGTTAGACTAGTGAAAGGAAAAGTAGTATATAAAAATTATATAATTGCTGTGATAAAGAGACAGAATAAGAAGATAAAGTACTGGGGCTCTAATCAAATAAAAAAGAGTAGAGGGAGGAATCCCTTAAGCAAGTTATTTAATCTGAGCTAAGAGAGTGAGTAGGAATTAACTGTTGTTGCTATTAGGTGTCATCAAGTCAATTCCGACTCAGAGTGACCCCATGTGCCAGAGTACAACTTCCCCATATGGTTTTCTTGCCTATAATCTTCACAGAAGCAGGTCACCAGGTCTTTCTCCCATGGAGTGGTTGGATGGGTTTGAACCGGAACCTTTTAGATTAGCAGCCAAGCACTTAACCGCTGTGCTCCCAGGGCTCCTTAGGAATTAGCAAAATGAAGGAAAAGTTGTAGAGCATTCTTGATGGAGGGAAGAGAATATGTAAAAATCTTGAAGTGACAAAAGCTTTGATCCATTATCAGAACTGAAGGAGGGCTAGTGTAGCCGATACATGATGAATGATGAAAAGAAACAGGTTTACAAAAAAGCTTACATGGGACTTTGTTGTCTCCACCGAGGGTTTTAAATAGTTACTTAAAATAAGCAGGAAGATATGGAAAGATTTAAACCTGGAAGATGACATTGTTAGTTTCATTTTACACATGAGAACACTGAGGAAGAGACCTTGAAAATAGTTTGCCCAAAGTTGCACACCAATTAAACTAGCTTTTAGACTAAACTATGAATTTAATAATCACTGTACTCATAGACATACACATGCTGAAGTCATGTTTACACCAACTCCCAAACATCAGTAGAACAGAAAAGTACAATCTAATCAGTTATTTGGATTTACTAATCAATTTCTTTGTAAAGCAGATGAATCTAGAATCCTGGAGAAACTGAAACAGGTTCATAGATAAAAATATTAATATAAATATATTTATTTACTTATGGAGAAAGACTACTTTTTGAAATAATACCTCCCAGATATCTTTCTAAGAATTGAGTATAACTCATGTGGCAAGTGTGCATATATGTGCATGTGAAAACCAGATGGGGGATGATGGGGACACAACTAGTCTTTAGAGTCGTAAGAATGGAATAAGTCATAAGAATGGAATTTCATGTTCCAGCTTAACTTACTGTTAATTATGTGATCTTAGGCATCTTACCTAACCTAACTGAGTCTTTGTATTCCCAACTTCATAATGGAGATGGTAAAACTTGCCATATCTATCTCACAAAATTATTTTGGTAGCAAAATAGAATAAATAAAAATGCTTGAAAAGTACAAAAAACTCTATAATTACGTATACAGGATATTTTTTTGTTAAATTTACTGCCTTCTTTGACCTACTTTCTTAGGAACATGGATATTCTGTTCTCGCTTCCTGGTGGGGATTGCAGCAAAGGATTCTTCCTGGTGTCATTGCTGGTGGAAATGGCGGCAGCTTCTGCAATCAAAGTACGCCCATCCCCAAAGGAAATTTATATTTTGATTCACATAGTGAAAGGATCTTTTAGTAATTGAAATATATTAAGCATGAATTATATTTATCTTGACTTTATATAGCGTTTGATAATTTAATTGGGGGTAGGTGATCTCTGATAGTTATACTTATTTTATTCATTTGTGTATTTCACCTAAGAGATGAAATTATATGTAGAGAGAATCAAATTTTAAACTTCAGTAAGAAAGTATATTTTCCACACAACTTGTCATTGGAATTATAATATGTAGTGATATAAATCCAATGGCTTTGACTACAAGCAATATAAATATGTAAATATTTTTTTAAAATCAAGAGAGAACTGTAAAAACTTATCTTTAAATTCAAATTGAATAAGGACAAATCCAAGCTTATATAAATATAAGGACATTAGCCAGTTGGTGATAGGATATTCAATACAGAAGAAAGTGGAAAATTCTATATTTGCAGGATTAAGGCTTGGAATTCATATGTTCTATGGCAATTTTTTTTTTAAGGAAATTCCCATTATATTTAATGCAATACAACATCAGGACCAGGTCACTTTTAAAAAGGCACTAGGTGAGATAACTTCTTGCCTGAACAAAGCCCATGAAGTGTTTCAGCAAGTTCACAGTAAGTACTCTGCAGTACAGAATTCTAAGCTGGCAGTCAAATGTTTGACTAAACTATATTCTGGAGAAAAAGGAAATGAAAACATTTATTTAGTATGTTTCCACTTTACATATTTTATTTCAATTAGTCCACTTTCTATGTAGTAGATTTTATTATTTTTATAGATAAGAGAATCTAAACTCAGGGGGATAAGTAAATGACCTAAGGACCTAGGTATTGAATGGGAAATTTGTCAAATGAATTGGCTGTTTTAAGTTCTGGAAAACTTAGATGCTGCTTGATAAGAGTTCTCAGTTAATTCTGCTTTTCCACAAGCTAAGAAGCAATGTAGACAAGCCATTGAGCTCAAAAGTAGTTGCAAAATTAACAAATAAAAAACCAAACAACAATACCAAAACAAAACATTAACAGTTATTTGCAAAAGAAAATTTTTTCCTACTAGAAAGCCTTAACTACTATGTGACTGTTTATTTCTGGGATTTCAGTTGTTGCTGATTAGTCCTTGACAAGAAAATGAGTTTCCAAATCAAGCTTTGGATAGGAAGACTTGGTGACGCCATCCATAGAATTGCTCTCTGTGTGTTTTGTCTCTCTATGTAGTCAGCTCAGCATTCATGTCAGTGAGCACATAAAGTAGTGATAAAGAAATGCTGACAGTTTAAACTGTTTGGTCTCCTGATGATGAGTGAGCCCAGGCTCCTAGGCATCAGTCTAGGGACCAGCCCTAGTTAAACCTTGTTCTGTGGAGACATGTGATGAGAGGAGTTGGAGGACTCCCCTAGGAAGGGCTAGGTGATTGTGGGCTTGTCCACAGGGGTTTTGTTCTGTAAAGACTGACCCAATAGCTATAGCTATATTGGCGCTCTCTCTCTCTCTCTCTCTCTCTCTCTCTCTCTATATATATATATATATTGCCTATGCAGATATCCAATATCAGTTATTTATAGCATCTTGTTTTCTCACTATTATCTCTGATGCCGCTTAATTAAATATACTCCTTCCTTTTACAGAACATGTGGATCCAAATCTATTTTTCAGTGTTCTTCGCATATATTTGTCTGGGTATGTAGTCTTATGCTTGAATTTATTTTCTCTTAAACAATTGAAAAAAACAAAAACAAACCCTCGCTGCCATCAAATTGATTTCAACTCATTGCAACCCCCTTCAGGTTTCTGAGGCAGTAAATCTTTATGGAAGTTGATTGCCCAGTCTTCCTTCCACAGAGTGGCTGCTGGATTTGAACCTCCAACCTTCTAGTTAGCAGTCAAATGTCTTAGATGCTATGCCACCAGAATTCCTTTAGGAATTTGGTATATTCTTTAATATTCTTTTTTAAAAAAAACAATTAAAGAGCATATCAAATTCCGAAGGATGGTCCCCATAATCATCAAATTTAGATAATAATTTTTATTTAATTTTAAAACACAAGATTAGAAAAAAAGTAATCTTTCTACTTGTCGGAGAATGCACTGGAGGAGGATGAGAAAGGTAGTGGTATTAAAGAGAATGGAATCATTTGCAGCAATGCACAGTTAAGTTTCCATTCTTAGAATGCTGATGCTTGCTTTGCTCAGAATTATATTATTTAGTACCTGGGCTACAAATGAAAAGTTGGCAGTTTGAACCTACCAAGAGGTTCCTCAAAAGAAAGGTGATATGCTTCCTAAAAGCCACAGCCATGAAAAACCTATGAAGCAGCTCTAATCTGAAACACATGAGTTTACCATGAGATGGACAAATCAACTTGACAGCAATTGTTTTAGTTTAGCCCTATTTTCATGAATTATACTCACTCATGAAAATAATCAGGAAAAAAGGGTGTGGAAGAAGAATGATGAAATCTATCTGACCCATGTGTTTTGGCTCTCTAGTGTCACTCTAACAGAAATATCACAAATGGGTGGCTTTAGGGGCTAGATGAAAGCCCCTCAACTGTGGTGTTCAGCTCTGCTTCTTGCTTCCAGCCCACTGAAGTTGGAGGCATCCCTTAGCTCAGGCAGCTGCTGGCTGGTAAGGCTGACAAACCCAAGGTTGATAAATAAAATGGCACAGTCCAAAAATTACCAAACAACATGGCAGGTGACTAGTTCAATTCCAGAGACAGTCCCAAGATCTGCAGGAAACATGGTGTGGTGCTTGCATGAGTTCTCAGCTACATGCAGGATCAAGCATGCCAAAAACTCTAAGACTTTTCTCAAAGCTGCCTTCTTATATACAGGAAGCAGGCCACATCATTAAGGCAACTACTCAGCTGCTCCAGTAGATTCCACCATGGAGTTTATTACCAGTCTCATCATGGAGATTAACTACATCCAGCTGTCCAGCCACTCAAAACCAGGCTCAGCCAAGTTGACACATAACCTTAATTTCCATACCATGTAACCTTCTATTATTCTGTTGCAATAATTTTATGTCTGAATACTGCCAATTAATCCCAATAACTATTACTTTTCCTTCCTGTCCTAGTTGGAAAGGCAACTCATTGCTGAAAGATGGCCTGCTGTATGAAGGGGTCTGGGATACCCCTCGGCAGTTTTCAGGGGGCAGTGCAGCCCAAAGCAGCATCTTTCAGTGCTTCGATGTCTTGCTGGGCATCCAGCAGAGTACTGGTGAAGGTGAGTGGATGATGAAGAACAGTGATTACCTTTTACATTAAATGTGGTAGTATTTTAATATTTAAGAAGTGTCTTCCCATCAGTATATCATCTAAACTTATGTGATTTTTTTAAGGTGTATGGTCAATATTCCATTTCATACATGAAGAAGTAGAAATTTGAACAGGATAAGTGTCAGGCTTTCTGCTAACCAGCTAAGAAATGACAGAGCCCATACTCAAACCCAAGTTGATCACAGTCAATCTTTTTGAACATATTGTTTAAGGCACAGTTGACTGTGGTGAAGACAAGATCACATGTGCTGAAAATGTAAGATCAGATTCAGAAAAAGAAAGCCATTTGCATATGAGGCAGAACTGTGTTGAAATTGGAGAGGGAGAGACCTCAGTAACAAGGCAAGGCATTGGTATTGTTCAGTGTTAGCTGTCCTGTCACCCCAGTGGCCAGTGGCAATGCCTTTGCCCAAGTTTGAAGATGGGCCACATTCATTATCTTCTTCCTTGAGATTTTAAAAGGGGAGAAGTCACTGTACAAAGAATTTCTATATTCTCTATTTCCTAGACTTCTATTTAACAGTCAAAGGAGAAAACATTGGGCTGGATAAAGCAGGCTTTGGACTTACCTTAGTAGTTTATTTAAAAATGATCCTTTATGCCTCTTAGAATTGGTGTCATGATCTGCCAGTGCACATTACATATAATCTGCCTGTATCATCAGGTTCTTTAAGAATCAAATATATTGAGAAAGTAGAGGGGAAAGCAATAAACAAAACCTTTGTTATGAAAGAATGAATTTAGCTAATATGGTTTTCAGAATTAAAAATTTCACACTTACCATAACTAGTAGCAACACTAATAATTGTTAAGCCTTCGTATAGAGTGGTTGTGACCTCAGTGCCTCTTGCTGTGGTTTGGTCTATGATCCCCACCCACTCTAACCACCTTCTTACCTTTTATCCTGGATTGAGGACTACTTTAACTTCCCATGGTACCCCTGGGTGGCACAAATGGTTTAGCACTGTATTGCTAAAAAACAGTTCCCAGTTTGAATCCAACCAGAGGTGATACACTTCCAAAGGATTTCAGCCATGAAAAACCTATGTAGCAGCTCTAATATGAAACACGAGGGCTTGCCATTAGACGCATCTACTCAATGACAACAGTTTTGGTTTGGTTTTTGGTTTGATCTATCTACTACCTCACCTTACTTTTTCCTTTAGAATATGCTGCTGAGTTCCTCCAGGATATGAGGACATATATGCCACCAGCTCACAAAGCCTTTCTTGAATCACTGGAGAAAGGCCCCTCAGTCCGTGAATTTGTCCTTTCAAATGGTGACACCAGCCTGAAGTCAGTTTATGATGAATGTGTGAAAGCTCTGGTCTCTCTGAGGAACTATCACTTGCAAGTAGTAACTAAATATATTGTAATTCCTGCACGACAGCAGAACAAGGATAACCAAACGTCTGAAGATCCATCAGAAGCAGAAAATAGAGGAACAGGAGGCACCAATGTCATGACTTTTCTAAAGACTGTAAGAAATACAACTGAGAAATACCTTATGAAGGAAGGTTAAAGTAACCTAATCAAGGGTATTGGACAATCTACTTCCATAGTGATACTGCCTCAGAAACCCAAGGGGGGGTTGCTATGGGTCGGGTCCAACTGGATGGCACATAACAACAACAACAACAAATCAAGGGTGTGTTGTGCTGGGCAAAGATCATGGTGTATATTTCTGTCACTGCTCATTATACCAGATCCATAAGTTAGTATTATACAATAATTTAGAAATCAAATATTATGAAACATTTAAAATTAAACTGTTATCTTTGTTTGAAAATAACAAAAGAAAATTAGACAAAAGTGATTAAGAAATACTAACATTAGAAGTATGATTATAATGCACACATTACAATGTAATGATGAAACTCAATAAATTAAACTTGATATAAGATATAATAGAATATGTAAAACTCATTTTACAAAATGTGTATGAACTGCTGTATGTGAAATGAATTTCCTCTATAAACTTTCACCAAAATCACAATAAATATTAAAAAAAATTAAAAACTTGTTTTATTTGTGACTATAATTAAATATTCTTCTATACAGGAGAACTAGTCCACACTATTGCCCCTTCAGACTCCACTGCTTCCTGTTCATAGACTCCCGTACTTTCCCTCTGGAATAATTACCTGTTTATTTGTTCATTTTGCCATTAGATAGTAAGCTTCATGACCTCAGGGGCTTTCTGTGTCTTCTACCACATTTGTGCATCCTCAGTTCTTGAAATGTATGATACTTTTACGCAGATACTTAGCAAATATTTGTTGAATGAATGTATAAAAGAACGAGCAATTATATACATAAATTACTAGGCTGACAATGACAGCTTTGATATACAATTTCTTGTGGGAGATCAGGGGTATCCGCCATTTACACCCTAACCTGAATTTATTAATAAT